TTGATTGTAATTAGTCAAAAGACGGATCGCGTGTCTGACAACAGCCTCACTTGTCTAATCTTGATACTGATATCTATCTCATATCCGTTCCATTGTTTCGTCTTTTGTTTTATAGTACAAAAATTTGGAACAAAAATTGTATGTGGTATGTATATTGATAAATATGAATTTCGGCTCTACAGCTGAGCCATTTAACACTTCAGTAATCGTCACATAAATATTTGTATTGTCATTTTAGCAGCGATGCGATTTAAGCATGAGTAATAGCAATTGAACGATGTATGTCTGTGTAATTTTAAAGTCGAATTAATCGTTATTTATCAATTATTTCATTTTACGTTTTGTTTATGGTAAGGTGAATGTTGTGGGGGGGGGGGTCTGTGTTTCTATCAACCCACCACATCCCACAGATATTAAAGTGTTTAAAAAAGAAAACTTAAAAATTATACCAGCCCATTTTATCTGTATATACCACCTTATATTCGATGACATTTTTTGATCTTTACTGTCATAAGTGAAAATATTTAGGGTATGTTGTGTCATTGACCTAAGAGACACAAAGGACACAAAGACACGTCCTTTGTAACCTTGGTTTGGTAAATTGTTTATAATTTAAAATTCACGAAATTGGTTTTCAAATATATATTTATAATCATTTTTCACTTTAAATTCGTCTAATTTAAAGTATAATATTATTATTCTCGGACTATAAATGATTATGAAACGGATACAGAACTCTGAGGCCCAGACCTAAAAAGGTTGTAGCGCCACTTATTTATTTTATTTATTTTTCATTATCGTATTAATAAACAATGTTAGTATCACGGGACAATAGCGTGGGAAATGTTAATGTCACGAGTATATAGATAGGACGCACTCGCCGCTCAGTATCTTCCGTATTAGATTATATTTTTTTGGAATAATATGTAATACAAATCTCAGATTTATTTATTATTTATTTATTAGCATACATTTGATTACCAGACTGTGTCTCATTTCATCGATTTTTAAATGAAAGCTTAAACATTTCTTTTTTTGTTAAGACTATGAAGTCTAGGAAAAATCAGTCAAGTTCTATTTGTGTTTTTTTCCGTGACAGCTATTGTAGCGGCTTATACAATTGGCGCTTACAAATCACTACGATGGCGTCAAATCCTAAAAATGTGTTCCGGCCGCTAAGGATATATGTATACAAATTCTCGACCTAATTCCATTAGAGCCTTCGGGCCGGCTGTCTTTACTGGGATTACACTAGGTCGGGGTTTCTCCTTTGGGGCCGTTCAAATATTGCGTAAGTACTATAGGAACGAGGGGGGTCTTTGATTTTCTTATTTGGTGATTACGTCAACAGTACTTACTTTACATATTACCCAGACATTGTCTATGCTTGAAAACGAAATACATTTTCGAGGATTCCTACAAAAAATTAATACGTTTATGTACTATAATTTTTAGAGCTTTGCTTACTTTTGCTGACAAGGGGAGTGGGGGGGGAGGGATAAATTGTAGTAAATCTACTTACTTAATACTTGAACGGTTGGAACAGTACACCATCCTTGCTCTACACTATTAAAGCTTGAAGGACGTGCGGGTGATTTCATGCTTTATCTAGCGTGCACGGAATGAAATCAAACGTGTCTTATTTATTTATACTTTATTACCTTATTTAAAAACATACACATAACAAAAATAAAAAAGCAGGTTACAAAAGTTGCCAAATGTAAAATGTAAAAGCCAATCAAAAGGTTCACTGAGACTAATTAATATATGTATATAAGCAATAGTCCCTTAGCGAATACTTAACACATGACGTTAACATAGGTTGAGTGCATAGATGCCATAGGATCAATCTTGTGACAATAAAAACAATAACATGTTATCGGGTATTATCTACGCGACATTTATCGATTTACGCTCTATTACGTCGTTTATCTACTATAGGTTTATCAGTAAACATACATTGTTTCGTAAAACCAAGCATATATGACCAATAGATAGAACTGTTTTTGTTACTATGGTTACCATTTTTTAATTAATTTATTATAGTACACCAGTTGTATAAAGAATCTACCGGATGAGTTACAATTTATCTAATCTAAAATATATGACATTAACGATGAACAAAAATAATTAAGAATCCAAAATAGAAAAAAATTACCCTCAAATAATAATAATTTATTTTTCTCCCATACAACATTTGCAACAAACAATAAGATTACAGTTGAGAAGGTATTGGGAGACTGGTTTCCAAACTAGGTAAGAACCTGAGATATTGACAACCATTTTAGTCTATTTAGTAATTACTTATTTAAACATACTTATTCCCGTTAAGTATCTTTAAATTAGGTATTAGGGGTTAGGGAGTTTAGGTACTTGATTGGTACTTAACAACGCTTTTTTTATATTATTAATGGGCTGATTGCCCACTACCGAAGTGTTCGAAAGAGACGCTGATCTTCTGCGTATAGGGTGGTTTTTACAGACGGAATTTGGAAGAGTGTTAATTTTAAATCATGGGAATGAGTATTGGATAACGATTGTTAATATTTTGTACGAGGTTACTGTTCTGTATTTGACAACAGTTTGTGTAAGAATGTTTTTATTTTAGATGAAAATATCTACATATAAGTAAGGCTCGATTTTGCATTTTTGAATGTAAGAATTAAATCTTGTTGTATCTGTAGGAATTTATTACAGACTCTCAAGTGTTTAATTTAATTTATCATTTATTTGTATACAAAATAAATGATAAATTAAATTAAACAGTTCTACCGTGAAAACGTCTGAACAAATGTTTTTAAAAAACCTGGTTTGTATTTCTCGAAGGAATTTAGAATAAGACATGTTAACTCACACATATTTGTATTATTTAGAGGAATTTTCTCAATTGTTGCAGAAAGCCGCCTCCACCACCGAAAAAAATATTCGAGTACCTTAACAAACATGTTGTGGGTCAGGATTTTGCAAAGAAAGTGCTGTCGGTGGCCGTATATAACCACTACAAACGAATATACAATAATGTCACGAATGGCGCTAACGACGCACACCATCCACTGCATCATGCACACAAAGGTATTATCTAATTAGAAATTAAATATTTAAAAATATATAGTGTGTGTTTTTAATTGAAAAGTCACCGACGTCCAGATTGAGCATTCTGATAAACAAGCTAGGTCTGGATATCCATAGTTGCTCCTCTCACTCACTTGAAATCAATTTTCCTTTAGTTTTTATAATTTATAAATCGATATGTATTTTTCTTTATTTGTTTGGTTTGTTTGCCTATAAGTGCACATTAAATCTTGTAGTTTATTTTTCTTAAGTACCAATGTATCAGTGGGCCAAGCGTTGGCAAGCTTTTGTTAATAAATAAATAAAATATTAAAGTACATTAGTACTAGATAACTTTTTAAGAGCTTATGAGAAGGAAAAATTGTATGTATTTATGATATGTGGGGTAACTCAATCTTCGTGCTTCCTAACAATATTTGTTAAGGTTTTTTTTTATTTTTTGCACCAAGTGTTTATTACTTAAATATTTGCAGTCGTTTTTTAAATAGTGTCAGTAATAATGTCCAATTGTTCCAGATCTGCTGCATCTAAGTCAGGGTGGGACAGGCGGCGGTGCGGAAGTACTGGAGCGACAGAACCACGAGCTGAGGCTTGACAAGAGCAATGTCCTGCTTTTGGGACCAACTGGAAGCGGTATGAAACTTTTTATTACTAGATTTCGAGCTGGTTTAAAATTTCAAATATCATTCAAAACGTTAGTGCTTCCTTAGTTCCAAATATGTCCAAGGTGCGCTGATCAAGTTCATACTTAAATGTATTGAATACAGTTTAGTTCTGACACAGTATATGACAAAATAAATTGCTTTTAATTTTAATTTGACATTTGCATGCTCATTTGATATGGATGATTGTGTGGTTTTTTTAATTCACCAATCATAATATGTATCACTAGTAAGTTAAATAATAATAATTCTTTATTTTCTTCCATATAACACATTTGAATCAGTACGATTACAATTAAGAAGGTATTGGGAGGGATTTCCAAGCTAGGTGATATGGATAAGGGAGCGTTCAAGTATTACGTTACGAATTTTTATGTCCTTTTGTAAAACGTTACGGTGCGGGGCGGGGATTGAATTACGCGTTATTGTTAATATTATTTTCGACTCCCGTACCTTACACCACATAATGGTAACTTTTAAGTATAAAGAGTCACTAAGTGGTCACGAAACGTTTTACTATAATTGGATACAGAAAAACGTTACGGCGCGTTACATGGGGGGGTGTCAATAATCTCCAAAAAATGCGTGACGTAATACTTGAATGCTCCCTAACCTGGCTTCCATTCCACAGCAAATTTATACTAAGTTATAACAAAAAAGTACATATACGAGTATGAGTACTTGTAAGAATTTATTATTATAACATTGAACCTTCGGATTGATTTCGGTTTGTTTGCTCATTCACTTTTTCCTTCAGCATCGTCTCGTCTTCAAACATTTGTCTATGTTAGACTTAAGACTATATATACAAAAAAGTTTTCAAGTGACGAAAACTTGTTGCTGCACTTTATTATAACCTAAAATATAAATAATAAAAAAAAAATTGCTCGTTTCAGGTAAAACCCTCCTTGCGCAGACGATAGCGACATGTCTAGACGTGCCCTTTGCGATTTGCGACTGTACGACTCTGACGCAGGCTGGATACGTCGGCGAGGACATTGAGAGCGTGATCGCGAAATTACTACAAGACGCCAACTTTAAGTGAGCACACAAAGATATCTGCCTAATGATAGGGCCTTGAATTTCAGTCCAATTTTCATACAAGTAGGCGCTAGCTAACCAACTCCATATGTCAAAAGATATATTAACAAAGCATTTAGTGGTAAATGTTCTACCTGAATAGTTTTTAATGCCGCAAATAATCGTTATGATTAAGCAATTATACTGACAAACAAATAAATTCCTGATAAAATTTGTATGCATAAACTTCTACTTTGAAATCAAAGCAGAATAATAGATATATTATAAATGATTTCCGTGAAAAAAAAAAAACGACGGGTTGCACTCCGGGAGTGCCGGCAGAAGTGAAAACTTGAATATTAACGTTGTGCATTTTTGATATTTTGGAATGGTCAGGGAATAATTTTACACGAATTGCTTTAATTATCAGTATAGAAGTACTATCATTTATGTGGTAGAATACAATATTTATTTATTGCGCTATCGTACACAAACATGACAATTTACATTACATTAAATACGCGCGCCAGCTTTAATAATAAAGCTTTAGACGTTTCGCAAAATTAAACCTTGATGTATTGACTTAAGGTCCAATTCCACATGCAACAATGTATCTGAGTATAGAGACAAATGAATTAAAACCGTAACTATATAGCACGAAGGTTCATAATCCTTTAAAAAACATCCGTCTTACGAATTCGTCCTGACGAGAATATTTTTTACCCAGTCCAAAAAAAGTGTACAACGCCGCTAAAGAAGTTTTCACTTCAAAAAATTCTACCTGAATATTTTTTAACGCTGCACAAAATTGTTTTTATCAAACAATCATACTGACAAATAAATAAATTCCTGATAAATTTAGTATGTATGAAGTTGCACCATGGGAGACATTATATTCGAAGTTTGATAAAACATATATCACAGTTAAAACTAATTATAGAGATATTTTATATTATTTTATATTTATCTGATAGTGTGGAGCGAGCGCAGACTGGCATCGTGTTCCTCGATGAGGTGGACAAAATTGGTGCAGTTCCCGGAATACATCAGCTTCGAGACGTAGGAGGTAATTATAACGAAATATTAATTTTATATCTTTAACTGAACTTAGAATTGAGAGGGTATATACTCCTTCATAGACACTTGGTGTTAGAAGTGCAGAAACAAAAGATTTTTTTAGAATAAGCAAATTCATGTCTTTTTAGTAAGCAAAGGGTGTTCAAAAAAGCCAGTAGCGCTACAATTCTTGTTGTTGGGCTAAGATTTTTGTATCTGTTTCGTATTTATTTTTTCTAATACATACTAATGATCAGCCTTCTGTGCCTGACACGCCTTTTTGGGGTTAAGGCATGCCGATCTTCTCTTCTTTCTTTTCTTCACCGTATGAAAAAGTCCATTGAGAATTTTCGACATCTGGGATGAGAGTGGCATGCTCATTGTTGTTCATACATACGCAACGGGTGTTGGGGTTATTAGATGCCTAGATGACTTAATTACATCTGTACGAGTTTTTTACGCCGGCTTTTTCTCTCGGCCTACACCCTCTGTCTTCTTTGCCGATGAGTAGGGATTAAACTTTAATGACGTGGAATAAGTGATACTTACCTGTATCTTATGTTCCATAATAAACATATTTTATTTTTATTTTACGACTGACAATTAAGAGATTTCGACAAATAAACAAATTATTGTTTTTCATCTGTGTGTTTGTTATTGTTTTTAAATTCTTCTGTCTGTAAGTTTTATAATTCGCGCGTGTGTATTTAAATCAGTGACAGGAAATTGAAATCAGTAACAGGCAATATCGGCTTTGAAAGCAATTTCTATGCTATTTCTTGAGTATTATTATTTCTATGGTCCTTGTCTGTCCGGAGTCACCAATTTTTCAGTAATGTTTTTATTTGTAAAATAGGTTAAATTGGAATTTCTAGGTGAAGGAGTACAGCAAGGCATGCTCAAAATGCTCGAAGGTTGCGTTGTGTCCGTACCCGAACGTAATTCTCGCAAACTACGCGGTGACGCGGTACAAGTTGACACCACGAACATACTGTTCGTCGCGAGTGGGGCATATAACGGCCTCGACCGCCTAATCCAACGGCGTAATAACGAGAAATACCTTGGCTTTGGGGCGTGGGACCCGAAGTCGGGACGACGGGCTGCGTTCGCCGCGGCCGCGGCCGACGCCTCGCCATTGGATACGGCGAAAGATGAGTGCAACGAAAGAGATAGCTGGCTTCGTAAGGTGCAAGCCAGGGACCTTATCGACTTCGGCATGATTCCCGTGAGTGTTATTTAATTAAACATGGTATTTAGCGTAACACAACCCTTAGGCCATTAATTTATGTAACAACTATTTCTTAATAGCTACGGTATTATAATTACCAATAGTACAAAAATTATTTGTTTATTATGACCGATTTAAATCTAATATTTTCTACGTCATTTCATTGGATTTCCGACAATGTCCTAATTCCAATTACAGTGTAAGCTCTTTATAACGAATTTCAAGGGACCGAGCATTTTTTGTTATAGAGAGTTTGTGCTATATAGAGGGAATAGAAAAGCAACCAAATTTAACCAATTACAATAATTTCTAATTACTATCAATAGGTAAATTATTCTAGACACATAGATTCTGTTAACTTTGCCCGACGTATTTTGCTATGACAGGCCATGTAATCTAAAAATAAATTCTTAGAAATTTCGGCACCTCTAAGGTTAGTTTTGTAAGCTGATAGTAAAAACAATTGCACTTAAGTATGTTGTTGATGTCTATATATAAAAACATATCTTCGTAATAGAGAATGTTGTGGCGATATAAAGAGCGTTAATGTTTTTGTGTTTAACCAAACAAATTTAATTCATATTTACGTTATAGAGGGTTTTTCGTTATAACAAATGATGAACGAGATCTTAACTTTATTGAAACAAATAGTGTGATCGTTTATGGAGTAAAATCAACGAGCCAATAGGTTTTGTATTGAGATTTGATGATACGAACATTTTTCGAGTATCATACGTGTAGTAAACAAATAAGTAGTAAGGAACTGAAATTATTGTATATCCATCACTTTACTCAGCCTCGGTAGCTTAGTTGTTAAGGCACATGGCGGATCTGGAGGCGTTAATAGGCGCGAACGCTAACTTTTAAAGAATTATGAATTGTTGCAAATAACTGCTTGACGTTCCACGGGACTTCACAACTACTGTCAATGGCTTTGGAATGTTTTATTTTTATAGTTGCTTATATAGTCTGTGCAGAAAGAGAACTGCGTGTGTTGACTTCTTTGTTACATTAAAGTTCGACTATAATGATCGATACTATGTGTCATTTTATGTGAATAATAAACGACGTAAATAAGAATTATAATAGTTCTTTTTCCGCAGACAGTAATAGATTGCTAATAATATATATTATTATTATTAAACCATTAAAAATATGAAACAAATAAAACTGTAATACAACACTTTGCTTTATTGTCAATAGTTTCCGCGGCAAATTTCAATTTTTGATATACAAGTTACTTACATAATATGATTAGTACGTAAAAACTTTTTTGAAAATATTATATAGACTATGTCCATCAAAGAATTTTTCAAATCAGTCCTCAGTCCTATTCAATGCAAACAATCAAATAATTAATCTTTATAATATCACATAGATAGATATTAGGTATAGATATATATTTAAATTAGAATGTTTAGAATAAAGTGTTGTAGGAGTGTTTGGTTGGATCTTTAGTGTAAGGGTTGAACCCCATCTTGGGTATAGGCCTCTTCTAGCTTATTTGACCCCCCCCCCATGTAACGCGCCGTAACGTTTTTCTGTAACCAAGTATAGTAATACGTATATAAATTATTATATACTTACCTTTCCGTCGCAATATATTTATGAAAATATTATGTATGTATACAAAAATAGTGATAAGTTTACTAGAATAGAACATACGCACAATGTTAATACACGGAACAAACGCAGGCTGCAATTTCCCCGTACTAGACTATCTAAAGTTAGTAATTCTTTTTTGGGGAAAGGGATACTCTTCTTTAATAAAATCCCAGAGGCTCTTTTATCACTGCCTTTCAATAAATTTAAGAAATGTATTAAAGAAAAGCTGTGTAAAAAGGCTTACTATAAAGTCAACGATTATCTAGTTGATAAAAGGGCCTGGGACTAGTGCTAGACAGGCTAATTCTAATTAATTTGCGATATTTGTTTTAAATAAGTGTTGTTTGATGATTTGCTATTTTAAAAGAGTACCGAGAGTTTTTTACGCCGGCTTTTTCTCTCGGCCTACACCCTCTGTCTTCTTTGCCGATGAGTAGGGATGCCTTCAAATTTAATGACGTGGAATAAGTGATACATGTATCTTATGTTCCATAATAAACATATTTTATTTTATTTTATTTTATAGTATTACAAAAGGACCTTTCCCCATCCCACGTAATACTTGAACGCTCCCTATCGTGCTAACTGTCCTGACGGTTTTAGTTTTAGAGGTATAATAAGATTGTTTAAATATTGTTTACAGGAATTCGTTGGTCGTTTCCCCGTACTGGTGCCTTTCCACAGCCTCGATCAGGACCTCCTCGTGCGGATACTGACAGAGCCTAAGAACGCTATTGTAAGATATTTCCTATATTTTTAATGTGTGACTTTTTATGAAGCGGGAAGTTTGAACCAACCTGTATTCGTTTCTTTATTTTTAAAGGCGACAAAGTTTTATCTTTAGGTTTTAACTACTACAAAAATAGTATTGTCTTTTATTAACATAACCTTAACACATTTAAAGAAAACACCTTTTAACCGGATTAAAGTTATGTATTATTAAATTTACAATTATTTAACATAATTTTAAATTTAACCGACGTAGATAAGACTGTAGATAAAGTTGCATTATCTGTATTTATTACCCCGGAGTTGGTATCGACTAAAAGATGGAGAGTTTTGGCTCACGGTGTCCTCTATTTGAACCGTGAGCCATTTCTGGCACAGCTGTGATACTTTTTCAACACCCTTTGTCTTCAGTCACCGTGACCACGCACGCTGTAAAGAACGTCGGTTAAATTTAAAATGATGTTAAATAATTGTAAATTTATAATAATACATAACTTTAATCCGGTTAAAAAGTGTTTTCTTTACTATAAAAATGTTTCTTTGTAATCTAATAGAATAAATTTGAATTGATACTTTGTATACTCAATAAGAACTGTTTAGGTCGCCCAGTACAAATTACTGTTCGCGATGGACAAGTGCGAGTTGTCGTTCAGTGAAGATGCGCTTCGAGCTGTCGCCGCTATGGCTATGGAGCGCAAGACTGGTGCTAGGGGATTACGGGCCATCATGGTAAGAGAAATATTTTTTTAAATAAATTATTTGTAGGAAATGCTGTTATGTTTTTGTTGGACTAATACGCATTCTATGAGCAGTTTTGGCCTTGTGGCTTCAGTGTGCGACTCTCATCCCTGAGGTCGTGGGTTCGATCCCCGGCTGTGCACCAATGGACTTTCTTTCTATGTGCGCATTTAACATTCGCTCGAACGGTGAAGGAAAACATCGTGAGGAAACCGACACGCCTTAGACCCAAAATAACAACGGCGTGCGTTAGACACAGAAGGGTGATCACCTATTTGGTTATTAGATTACCAAATGATCATGAGACCGATTCAAAAATCTGAGGCCCAGACCTAAAGAGGTTGTAGCTCCACTGATTTATTTATTTAATACGCAGTCTATGCACGTTAGTGGCATCAGTGTGCGTCACCCCTGTGGTCGTAGGTTTAATCCCCGGCTGTGCACCAATGGACTTTAAGTCTGTGTGCCTACCACTGGCTCGGTGAAGGAATCGACATGTCTCAAAATCAAACATGTCAGACAGAAGGCTGATCACCTACTTGTCTATGATATAAAAATTGTGAAGAAACAAATGCAATTGTAGGCCAAGGATTAAGGATTTTAGCGCCACTAGATTTTTATAGTTATACGCATGCTATAGGAACTGATTATAGACAAGGAATTCCTAGTCTTACTGCGAGTAGTAAATATAATGGTAGAATTGTTTTTATTTTTCTATTAATTATGAAGTAAGTTCATGTTTAGGTCAAAATTCATAATTATACGCCAAGGTTCAATATTAAACCAGTCGTTGAATCTTTGTGTAATATAAAAGTTTAAAAAACCCTGTTTCTGTATTCATAATACGTCGTACATTTTTTATATAAAAACGCATATTATAATGATTTTAAATACATACAGATTAAGCACGATTTAACATATAACAAATTGTTTACAGGAAAACCTACTTCTGGAAGTGATGTTCGAGATCCCAGGGTCGGATATAACGGGTGTACACATTCACGATGGCTGTGTGCGTCGCGCAGAACCACCAAGACTTACGCGGCGTCACGCAGACCAGGATATGCACCACTGGCCCTCGGTGCGACTACACAATTGTACGTGCCACATGCACACACACAAACCGAAAACTCACACACATAAGCGTATTTTTATTTAAGGTCTAACACACGTTAGACATGTTCAAGAGACTGAAAAGATTTTAAAAATAATTTCAGATTACTTATTAGTTGACCATAGAACCAATACAATTTCATATTTTTTAATTCATGAAGGCTTATAAGATTCAATTAAGAATTCATATTTTCAAGAACCCACTTCTCTAAGCAAGATGGCGTCGCACCAGTCCCTATGACGTAGCATGCCTGTAAACAAGTATAAGTAATAAGACCAAGGTGTTACGTGTTCATTATTAAATTAAAAAATATTCTACTTCGATCAAAAACCGATAAAAAAAGTTAGACAGTATTAGGCTTAGACAGCTACATGTTCGATTTGACAATTTTTTGTCCGTTTTAGTGTCACGTGACTGACGTATAACAATATTTATCTTAAGTATGGATTTTTGTTTAATAATTTTTGTTTTGGTCCATAACGACTTATAATCCATGTGTTATACAGATCACCATCAATAAACATGTAATACATTTTTCATACTTTCTAATACCTTATTACGTTCTAAGATACGTACTTAGGCGTACACCGTTCACCGTACGCGCACAAGCGCATTTATGTGTACGTGCACACACACATATTACTTCAACAGCTGTGGTATGAATAAAAATCTGCACATAAATAAGATATTAATATCACATACTATATGTTGACCAAGACCTTTAGTAATCGAGATGAAAACTCTGTGGTAAGGGCCGTTATTATCAGTCTACGATATCTATAGTTTAAAAGAAAGAAACTTTTGAATATGGAATATGAAATTATTTTTAAATTTTCCATTTTAATGTACACAAGTGCTTCCTTGTTAGGATATTTCTCTTAAGGGAAATAGTTTTGGTATTTTTTTTACAGGAATCTCTCGATAATACAGCTTTCTGTTCTGGCACTCAAGACGGATTCTTTGTTTGAGGCCTGATCACAAGTAAATGGCCAGTTTTTTTTTGTAAGACTTATTTGCATGGCCAGACAAATCATGACAGACTAATTAATATATTTATTTTTGTGTAAAGCAATTAAAAAGTAATTAAGTCAATGAGTATTCATAGTAATGGAGAAGTTTCACGTTATATTTAACGAAATTTTTTTATGATCAATCAATAATTACTCGATAAATTCACTAAACTTAAAAAAAAAATTTACTATGGAACGTCTGTTGTCTGTGACGTAATTTGACCTATTCGAGAACGTCTACGCGTTCGTACTCAGCATATACGCGCCGCGTCTAGATTAGGATATATATGTGTGACGTCATCTCTAACTCCGCGGGACTCTAAATTAATCTAATGATTATTTCACGTTTTTTAACTTAATTATAATTAATGTATTTAAAATGGAAACTTCTCCATTTTGTTACCAACAGTGGTCATGGTATAGGCTCGAGATTTCTTTGTTCTGGTATTTTGACGTATTTGTAGAAATTATTTTGATTTGTGGAAACTTTCAACAGAAGGTAGTTTAGATAGTAATGTACAATGCTACAAGTTTCAGCTTAAAACAGACTACACATTACATTTACATTAATATATTTCCAAAGTCTAAAGGGTCATTATATGCGCATGCGCTAGTGAGGAATGTAGATATAAATTTCTTAGAAATTTATTTTTAAAATCTTCATTGAATTTCGATGAATTGGAAATCAACCAAAAACATTTTTACAACTAGATAGAAAATCATAATACTTATAACATTGGCGTTGGTAAATTAATCAATAATTTCTTTCAGGATTTGAAGGCGGAATCGGAACCATCTGTTAATCAGTACGCGCTCTGAGAAATGCGCAACACAAACACACCGGCAAATTTGTCTATGCTCATATTCCTCTGTCTGTGCCCGAAAGCCGTATTACTAAGGCAAAATTAAAGGCTCACTGCATTCTTAAAATATAAAAATATGACATTAAAAACTTATATATTATTTAAAAAACCTCTTGCCTAATACATAACTGTTCCAATACAATAATTTTGTGGCTAGAAAAAAAAAGTAAAATTTACGATGATCTTTATAGTAGTTCCTTGTGGTTAATAGAATGGTTGTGTGCGCGACATACAGCCATCTTGTGATGTAAATTACTGTAAATATTATATTATAGAAAGAATTAATTAAGACGTAATAGTTTAGGCATTTTTTAAATCTACATTTTAAGTTACGAGACGAAATGGTAAAAAAACTGGCAATATAAATTAAAAGATTGGCAACACAGAAGATATTTTGACATTTTGTTTTTGTTATACATAGATTTTTTATTTAACGCGATGTGATGTGATTAGGTTTAGATTATAAAAAATAGAGAATTTTAGACGCGTTTTGAACGGATTATATAATCACATTACAAATAGAATAAGCTTATTTTCAAATAAAAACAATAAAACTACTGAATAATTTGTTTTATTCTTAAATTATCCCTTTAAATTACAAACATTAATAAACTTACGTTATTCAAAATTATATTTACATTTGAAGTATTAACGTGACTAATTATATAAATATTAAAATACCTAGCTATACAACTAGATTACGCTTTACACTAAATTCCTTATAAGTTTCATTTTTAACAATATCGATTATAATGTCCACCATATTGTATACTTCCTCATAGCTAGTGTACAGAGCTGTCGGTGCGAGACGTATCACGTTGGGGTCTCTAAAATCAGGAATCACGCCTCTTGCTTTCATTGCCAAAGATATTCTATAACCTTCGTCGTGCTCCAGGCACACGTGCCCGCCTCGCTTACTGTCTTCTCGGAGATTGCCAACCGAAAAACCAAACTTGGTCAACTTCTCATCAATCAAGTAAATTAAGTATCCCGTAATCCGCAATGATTTCTTTCTAATCGCCACCATGCCGACATCAGCAAATATCTTGAGGGATCCCTCCAGAGCTCCCATGGACAACAAAGGCGGTGTTCCTATCTGCCAACCCCCTGCGTCTTTCCGATGTTCGAAATTTTGCCGTAACATGAATTGTGTCTCCGATAGGTTTCCAAACCACCCGGCTAACCCAGGCTGGTGATTAAAATGCTTCCTGTTTATATATAGAGCCGCAGGAGATCCAGGACCGCCGTTCAAATATTTATAGGTGCACCAAACTGCGAAATCTATATCTAAAGACTTAAAATCCATTTCTAGCACTCCAACTGCGTGGCATAAGTCCCAGCCAATTAGAATTCCTCTCTCTTTTGCGGCCTCAGTTATTTTCTTCGTATCTAGAACTTGAGCTGTTCTGTAATATACAACTGGTAGAAATACTATTGTCACATCTTCTGTCATGGCAGCTATAACGTCGTCTTCTTCGATGTATTTGTCAGTACATTCAATTACTTTTATCGCCTCTTCAGGTGTGTAACCCTTTAATCTCACTTGGCTCTCTATGGCGTACCTATCTGTGGGAAAATTAATATTATCTATTAGGATTTTATAACGATCCTTAGTGGGTTTGTAAAACGTGCTGATCAGCTGATGGATATTAACTGTGGTAGCTGACACGATGGCGATTTCATCATGATCTGCTCCAACGATGGGTGTCATTAGTTTAGCTAGATGCATTGAATACATATAGTATTTGTTATCATCTACATTCCAAATATTAACACCTTCGTTCTTCCATTTGTCTAACACTTTTAGAGCTGTCTCTTCAGAATCTTTGGAAGCTAGCCCTAGCGAGTTTCCGCACATGTAAATACAGTTTTCCTTTATGTAAAATCTCTTTCGGACGTATCCGAGAGGATCGTTGTTGTCGAGGAATTTGGCAAAGTCTGACCCGGGTTTAAACTGACCTTCCATGGCTCATAAGTATATTAGACTCCCACACGTAGTTTCACTAGAAATGTAAAACAAAAAATTACAGCATTTTGCTTGTTTAAATCATTTAATGTGTAAATAAAATCTTGCCAGTAAAAAATAAAATAAACACGTAAAGTTTGCTTCAGGCTTACCGGTAGATAATTAATATGTTTTGTTAAGTGTATTTTTCAGTTGGGTAACTATTTATGACTGAGTAATATATATATGTACGTAGCCCGCGCATACCTAACTTATTTTTTGTAAGTACGGTGAATCGTGATAATAAAGTAATTAAAGTGATAATTGTTTCAATTACACCCACGCTTTCATTTCGATTAGCATTTTATTGATATTAATAAAGTGTAATGTGTCTTATAGAAACACTGTATGGTTAACAGAGTTATATTTACTATTAAAATATTTCAAGGATTGTGTATAAAGCCCCGTAACCCAACGTGGCATGGGGCAGAGACATTTCTGCCTCGGTTTCATTATTATTTTTTTTATACGCACTTTATATTTTATACACGTCGTCTATGCTTGGGTATAAAACATCTCAAGATCCTCACGATTAACGAGTTTTGCGATTATATTGTGTTAATCACGACCATAGAAAAATACATTTGATGCCAACCCCCCCCCCCCCCCCCCCCCCCCCCCCCCCCCCCCCCTTTTTTTGCTTGTTTTTTTTCCCCCCCCCCCCCGCCCCCCCCAACCCCCCCCCGGGCGGCCCTCCCCCCGGGGGGGGGTCCCCCCCCCCCCCCCCCCCTCCCCCCCCCCCCCCCCCCCCCCCCCCCGGCCCCCCCCCCCCCCCCCTTTTCTTTTTTTTTTTTGTTTCCCCCCCCCCCCCCCCCCCCCCCCCCCCCCCCCCCCCCCCCCGCCCCCCGGGGGGGCGGGGGGGCCTCCCCCCCCCCCCGGCGCCCCCCCCCCCCCCCCCCCCCCCCCCCCCCCCCCCCCCCCCCCCCCCCCCCCCTTTTTTTTTTTTTTTTTTTTTTTTTTTTCCCCCCCCCCCCCCCCTTTCCTTCCCCCCCCCCCCCCGCCCCCCCCCCCCCCCCCCCCCCCGCCGGGGGCCGCCCCCCCCCCCCCCCCCCCCCCCCCCCCCCCCCCCCCCCCCCCCCCCCCCCCCCCCCCCCCCCCCCCCCCCCCCCCCCCCCCCCCCCCCCCCCCCCCCCCCCCCCCCCCCCCCCCCCCCCCCCCCCCCCCCCCCTTTTCTTCCCCCCCCTTTCCCCCTCCTCCCCCCCCCCCCCTCTCCCCCCCCCCCCCCCCCCCCCCCCCCCCCCCCCCCCCCCCCCCCTCCCCCCCCCCCCCCCCCCCCCCCCCCCCCCCCCCCCCCCCCCCCCCCCCCCCCCCCCCCCCCCCCCCCCCCCCCCCCCCCCCCCCCCCCCCCCCCCCCCCCCCCCCCCCCCCCCCCCCCCCCCCCCCCCCCCCCCCCCCCCCCCCCCCCCCCCCCCCCCCCCCCCCCCCCCCCCCCCCCCCCCCCCCCCCCCCCCCCCCCCCCCCCCCCCCCCCCCCCCCCCCCCCCCCCCCCCCCCCCCCCCCCCCCCCCCCCCCCCCCCCCCCCCCCCCCCCCCCCCCCCCCCCCCCCCCCCCCCCCCCCCCCCCCCCCCCCCCCCCCCCCCCCCCCCCCCCCCCCCCCCCCCCCCCCCCCCCCCCCCCCCCCCCCCCCCCCCCCCCCCCCCCCCCCCCCCCCCCCCCCCCCCCCCCCCCCCCCCCCCCCCCCCCCCCCCCCCCCCCCCCCCCCCCCCCCCCCCCCCCCCCCCCCCCCCCCCCCCCCCCCCCCCCCCCCCCCCCCCCCCCCCCCCCCCCCCCCCCCCCCCCCCCCCCCCCCCCCCCCCCCCCCCCCCCCCCCCCCCCCCCCCCCCCCCCCCCCCCCCCCCCCCCCCCCCCCCCCCCCCCCCCCCCCCCCCCCCCCCCCCCCCCCCCCCCCCCCCCCCCCCCCCCCCCCCCCCCCCCCCCCCCCCCCCCCCCCCCCCCCCCCCCCCCCCCCCCCCCCCCCCCCCCCCCCCCCCCCCCCCCCCCCCCCCCCCCCCCCCCCCCCCCCCCCCCCCCCCCCCCCCCCCCCCCCCCCCCCCCCCCCCCCCCCCCCCCCCCCCCCCCCCCCCCCCCCCCCCCCCCCCCCCCCCCCCCCCCCCCCCCCCCCCCCCCCCCCCCCCCCCCCCCCCCCCCCCCCCCCCCCCCCCCCCCCCCCCCCCCCCCCCCCCCCCCCCCCCCCCCCCCCCCCCCCCCCCCCCCCCCCCCCCCCCCCCCCCCCCCCCCCCCCCCCCCCCCCCCCCCCCCCCCCCCCCCCCCCCCCCCCCCCCCCCCCCCCCCCCCCCCCCCCCCCCCCCCCCCCCCCCCCCCCCCCCCCCCCCCCCCCCCCCCCCCCCCCCCCCCCCCCCCCCCCCCCCCCCCCCCCCCCCCCCCCCCCCCCCCCCCCCCCCCCCCCCCCCCCCCCCCCCCCCCCCCCCCCCCCCCCCCCCCCCCCCCCCCCCCCCCCCCCCCCCCCCCCCCCCCCCCCCCCCCCCCCCCCCCCCCCCCCCCCCCCCCCCCCCCCCCCCCCCCCCCCCCCCCCCCCCCCCCCCCCCCCCCCCCCCCCCCCCCCCCCCCCCCCCCCCCCCCCCCCCCCCCCCCCCCCCCCCCCCCCCCCCCCCCCCCCCCCCCCCCCCCCCCCCCCCCCCCCCCCCCCCCCCCCCCCCCCCCCCCCCCCCCCCCCCCCCCCCCCCCCCCCCCCCCCCCCCCCCCCCCCCCCCCCCCCCCCCCCCCCCCCCCCCCCCCCCCCCCCCCCCCCCCCCCCCCCCCCCCCCCCCCCCCCCCCCCCCCCCCCCCCCCCCCCCCCCCCCCCCCCCCCCCCCCCCCCCCCCCCCCCCCCCCCCCCCCCCCCCCCCCCCCCCCCCCCCCCCCCCCCCCCCCCCCCCCCCCCCCCCCCCCCCCCCCCCCCCCCCCCCCCCCCCCCCCCCCCCCCCCCCCCCCCCCCCCCCCCCCCCCCCCCCCCCCCCCCCCCCCCCCCCCCCCCCCCCCCCCCCCCCCCCCCCCCCCCCCCCCCCCCCCCCCCCCCCCCCCCCCCCCCCCCCCCCCCCCCCCCCCCCCCCCCCCCCCCCCCCCCCCCCCCCCCCCCCCCCCCCCCCCCCCCCCCCCCCCCCCCCCCCCCCCCCCCCCCCCCCCCCCCCCCCCCCCCCCCCCCCCCCCCCCCCCCCCCCCCCCCCCCCCCCCCCCCCCCCCCCCCCCCCCCCCCCCCCCCCCCCCCCCCCCCCCCCCCCCCCCCCCCCCCCCCCCCCCCCCCCCCCCCCCCCCCCCCCCCCCCCCCCCCCCCCCCCCCCCCCCCCCCCCCCCCCCCCCCCCCCCCCCCCCCCCCCCCCCCCCCCCCCCCCCCCCCCCCCCCCCCCCCCCCCCCCCCCCCCCCCCCCCCCCCCCCCCCCCCCCCCCCCCCCCCCCCCCCCCCCCCCCCCCCCCCCCCCCCCCCCCCCCCCCCCCCCCCCCCCCCCCCCCCCCCCCCCCCCCCCCCCCCCCCCCCCCCCCCCCCCCCCCCCCCCCCCCCCCCCCCCCCCCCCCCCCCCCCCCCCCCCCCCCCCCCCCCCCCCCCCCCCCCCCCCCCCCCCCCCCCCCCCCCCCCCCCCCCCCCCCCCCCCCCCCCCCCCCCCCCCCCCCCCCCCCCCCCCCCCCCCCCCCCCCCCCCCCCCCCCCCCCCCCCCCCCCCCCCCCCCCCCCCCCCCCCCCCCCCCCCCCCCCCCCCCCCCCCCCCCCCCCCCCCCCCCCCCCCCCCCCCCCCCCCCCCCCCCCCCCCCCCCCCCCCCCCCCCCCCCCCCCCCCCCCCCCCCCCCCCCCCCCCCCCCCCCCCCCCCCCCCCCCCCCCCCCCCCCCCCCCCCCCCCCCCCCCCCCCCCCCCCCCCCCCCCCCCCCCCCCCCCCCCCCCCCCCCCCCCCCCCCCCCCCCCCCCCCCCCCCCCCCCCCCCCCCCCCCCCCCCCCCCCCCCCCCCCCCCCCCCCCCCCCCCCCCCCCCCCCCCCCCCCCCCCCCCCCCCCCCCCCCCCCCCCCCCCCCCCCCCCCCCCCCCCCCCCCCCCCCCCCCCCCCCCCCCCCCCCCCCCCCCCCCCCCCCCCCCCCCCCCCCCCCCCCCCCCCCCCCCCCCCCCCCCCCCCCCCCCCCCCCCCCCCCCCCCCCCCCCCCCCCCCCCCCCCCCCCCCCCCCCCCCCCCCCCCCCCCCCCCCCCCCCCCCCCCCCCCCCCCCCCCCCCCCCCCCCCCCCCCCCCCCCCCCCCCCCCCCCCCCCCCCCCCCCCCCCCCCCCCCCCCCCCCCCCCCCCCCCCCCCCCCCCCCCCCCCCCCCCCCCCCCCCCCCCCCCCCCCCCCCCCCCCCCCCCCCCCCCCCCCCCCCCCCCCCCCCCCCCCCCCCCCCCCCCCCCCCCCCCCCCCCCCCCCCCCCCCCCCCCCCCCCCCCCCCCCCCCCCCCCCCCCCCCCCCCCCCCCCCCCCCCCCCCCCCCCCCCCCCCCCCCCCCCCCCCCCCCCCCCCCCCCCCCCCCCCCCCCCCCCCCCCCCCCCCCCCCCCCCCCCCCCCCCCCCCCCCCCCCCCCCCCCCCCCCCCCCCCCCCCCCCCCCCCCCCCCCCCCCCCCCCCCCCCCCCCCCCCCCCCCCCCCCCCCCCCCCCCCCCCCCCCCCCCCCCCCCCCCCCCCCCCCCCCCCCCCCCCCCCCCCCCCCCCCCCCCCCCCCCCCCCCCCCCCCCCCCCCCCCCCCCCCCCCCCCCCCCCCCCCCCCCCCCCCCCCCCCCCCCCCCCCCCCCCCCCCCCCCCCCCCCCCCCCCCCCCCCCCCCCCCCCCCCCCCCCCCCCCCCCCCCCCCCCCCCCCCCCCCCCCCCCCCCCCCCCCCCCCCCCCCCCCCCCCCCCCCCCCCCCCCCCCCCCCCCCCCCCCCCCCCCCCCCCCCCCCCCCCCCCCCCCCCCCCCCCCCCCCCCCCCCCCCCCCCCCCCCCCCCCCCCCCCCCCCCCCCCCCCCCCCCCCCCCCCCCCCCCCCCCCCCCCCCCCCCCCCCCCCCCCCCCCCCCCCCCCCCCCCCCCCCCCCCCCCCCCCCCCCCCCCCCCCCCCCCCCCCCCCCCCCCCCCCCCCCCCCCCCCCCCCCCCCCCCCCCCCCCCCCCCCCCCCCCCCCCCCCCCCCCCCCCCCCCCCCCCCCCCCCCCCCCCCCCCCCCCCCCCCCCCCCCCCCCCCCCCCCCCCCCCCCCCCCCCCCCCCCCCCCCCCCCCCCCCCCCCCCCCCCCCCCCCCCCCCCCCCCCCCCCCCCCCCCCCCCCCCCCCCCCCCCCCCCCCCCCCCCCCCCCCCCCCCCCCCCCCCCCCCCCCCCCCCCCCCCCCCCCCCCCCCCCCCCCCCCCCCCCCCCCCCCCCCCCCCCCCCCCCCCCCCCCCCCCCCCCCCCCCCCCCCCCCCCCCCCCCCCCCCCCCCCCCCCCCCCCCCCCCCCCCCCCCCCCCCCCCCCCCCCCCCCCCCCCCCCCCCCCCCCCCCCCCCCCCCCCCCCCCCCCCCCCCCCCCCCCCCCCCCCCCCCCCCCCCCCCCCCCCCCCCCCCCCCCCCCCCCCCCCCCCCCCCCCCCCCCCCCCCCCCCCCCCCCCCCCCCCCCCCCCCCCCCCCCCCCCCCCCCCCCCCCCCCCCCCCCCCCCCCCCCCCCCCCCCCCCCCCCCCCCCCCCCCCCCCCCCCCCCCCCCCCCCCCCCCCCCCCCCCCCCCCCCCCCCCCCCCCCCCCCCCCCCCCCCCCCCCCCCCCCCCCCCCCCCCCCCCCCCCCCCCCCCCCCCCCCCCCCCCCCCCCCCCCCCCCCCCCCCCCCCCCCCCCCCCCCCCCCCCCCCCCCCCCCCCCCCCCCCCCCCCCCCCCCCCCCCCCCCCCCCCCCCCCCCCCCCCCCCCCCCCCCCCCCCCCCCCCCCCCCCCCCCCCCCCCCCCCCCCCCCCCCCCCCCCCCCCCCCCCCCCCCCCCCCCCCCCCCCCCCCCCCCCCCCCCCCCCCCCCCCCCCCCCCCCCCCCCCCCCCCCCCCCCCCCCCCCCCCCCCCCCCCCCCCCCCCCCCCCCCCCCCCCCCCCCCCCCCCCCCCCCCCCCCCCCCCCCCCCCCCCCCCCCCCCCCCCCCCCCCCCCCCCCCCCCCCCCCCCCCCCCCCCCCCCCCCCCCCCCCCCCCCCCCCCCCCCCCCCCCCCCCCCCCCCCCCCCCCCCCCCCCCCCCCCCCCCCCCCCCCCCCCCCCCCCCCCCCCCCCCCCCCCCCCCCCCCCCCCCCCCCCCCCCCCCCCCCCCCCCCCCCCCCCCCCCCCCCCCCCCCCCCCCCCCCCCCCCCCCCCCCCCCCCCCCCCCCCCCCCCCCCCCCCCCCCCCCCCCCCCCCCCCCCCCCCCCCCCCCCCCCCCCCCCCCCCCCCCCCCCCCCCCCCCCCCCCCCCCCCCCCCCCCCCCCCCCCCCCCCCCCCCCCCCCCCCCCCCCCCCCCCCCCCCCCCCCCCCCCCCCCCCCCCCCCCCCCCCCCCCCCCCCCCCCCCCCCCCCCCCCCCCCCCCCCCCCCCCCCCCCCCCCCCCCCCCCCCCCCCCCCCCCCCCCCCCCCCCCCCCCCCCCCCCCCCCCCCCCCCCCCCCCCCCCCCCCCCCCCCCCCCCCCCCCCCCCCCCCCCCCCCCCCCCCCCCCCCCCCCCCCCCCCCCCCCCCCCCCCCCCCCCCCCCCCCCCCCCCCCCCCCCCCCCCCCCCCCCCCCCCCCCCCCCCCCCCCCCCCCCCCCCCCCCCCCCCCCCCCCCCCCCCCCCCCCCCCCCCCCCCCCCCCCCCCCCCCCCCCCCCCCCCCCCCCCCCCCCCCCCCCCCCCCCCCCCCCCCCCCCCCCCCCCCCCCCCCCCCCCCCCCCCCCCCCCCCCCCCCCCCCCCCCCCCCCCCCCCCCCCCCCCCCCCCCCCCCCCCCCCCCCCCCCCCCCCCCCCCCCCCCCCCCCCCCCCCCCCCCCCCCCCCCCCCCCCCCCCCCCCCCCCCCCCCCCCCCCCCCCCCCCCCCCCCCCCCCCCCCCCCCCCCCCCCCCCCCCCCCCCCCCCCCCCCCCCCCCCCCCCCCCCCCCCCCCCCCCCCCCCCCCCCCCCCCCCCCCCCCCCCCCCCCCCCCCCCCCCCCCCCCCCCCCCCCCCCCCCCCCCCCCCCCCCCCCCCCCCCCCCCCCCCCCCCCCCCCCCCCCCCCCCCCCCCCCCCCCCCCCCCCCCCCCCCCCCCCCCCCCCCCCCCCCCCCCCCCCCCCCCCCCCCCCCCCCCCTTTTTCCTCCTCCCCCCCCCCAAAAAATACATTATTTTTAGTCAATCAAATTTAAATATACAGTAAGTAGTGTATTGTTAGTTGTGACGGTTATAATTCATCTTGTAACCTAACCTATACAATAAAAAATTCAATGTTATCAAAGGCTTTTCATGTTTACGCTTTCAAATAATAAAATACGCTGCAGAGGTTATTGGTAAGACATTCGTTCTTTATACATACCTATAACATACATATATTCAGGTCATTATTGAATTACTAACGTAACTCGTTATAAGATAAATCAATATGTCTAATCCAAGGGAATTTTGTAGTCTTATATTCCCACAATTTTAATATATTTTTAATATTTGAAAATTTGATTAGTGTTTACTTTAGATTACATAAATGGATTATGCGCTGACTGGACGATTGTCGTAAATCATACGGAATTTCGAGTACGTACCTAAATAATGATACACCTACCGTAAATAAATTGAATTGAGTATGATTTAAAACGTGTTATAAGGTTATTTATAGTATATAATGTTGTAGTAGTATATCTTGCTTTTAATAGTAAATATTTGGAAATTTGAAAGGCGATGAAACGAAAAAACGACAGTAAAATGAGACTGACACAAAAACTCATAAGATTTAACGTGGAAGAAAATGAAGTAGGAAGCATTATACAAAGTGTATAATATTTAAATTAGTGTGCATTTGATCATTATCTGAATAACAAAAACATGTGCAAAAAATTAATTAAGAGATTAATTTAATTCAATTATAAAATTAGATGAAACTTATCAATTTTATTTACATATCCTTAACTATAAAAACTTTTCTAATTATTTTAGTTTTTATCAAAATTAATTGATAGTAAACTAAAAAATTAATTTAAGGAAAAGTCTAATAGGTACTACATTTAGATGGTGAGAAAAAGTCAAATTTATATATTATTAAGTATAAAAATGTTTTTAATCATTGATGTTTTTATCCACATTAATAATTGATATTATACTTAAAAATTAAAATTATATTCGTCTCATTATTTTGAAACCAAAATTTTTGAAGGTTTCACTTCTACCTCGTGTGAATTGCTCACATGTTTTTTTTATTCCAAAAGAATTAGTCAGTGTTTAATGTAAAGAAGTCCTTAGTTGTAAAAAAGCGGGACGTTTATTATGACAGGGAATTAAGATATTGTGCATGACATTGTCAAATATACAAATAATATGTTGCAAAAATGGTAACTAAAGCTTTCCAGAGTGTCAGGCAATTCTCCCGAACACCATCGGTATGGAACCTCTGCTGGCCCAGCAGTCATTTCAGGCCGCAGTGCGTTCAGAGGACGGAACTGCTTAATGGTATCAAGGTAGCAGCTGCGAAGACATCCGGCACCGCTGTTGCCGCCTGCACTATAATGTTTCAGGTTTTGTCTCACAGTTATTTGGAAGCTTTTATACAAAATACGAAACTATAGAACATGGGACCATTGCTTTCAAGGGACTTCTCAGCCTAAACCTTAACTGTAACCCTTTTAAAAATACAATAATCATGTTTTAAAATTAATAATTTTCATATATTATTCTTGGATTTAGTTTTTTAATTTCTAAATATTATACAAGGACTTCGCACTTTTTGGTTTACGTAAAAAAATAATGTCTTGAATAAACCGCTTATTAGAAATAATTGCGCTCTGCAGGTTTAGCTCTGTATGTTTATTTTTATGCTATGCATAACACATTTCATTATTTCGCTTATATTTTGTTGTCGTACGCGAGTGCTAATATGGAGGATCTCTATTATTTAAAGCAATGTGTGATGACAATATTAAAAAAACACGGTAATACAACATTTTCAAATCTTTTTGTTAATATTGTATTACACTAATACATACTATTTATTAGATTAACTACGCAAAAATTTCCTTAATATATAATTTTAATAGTTAGTAGAAAATAAATCGCTTAAATATTATACCAATATTACAATATTACCAATTTTATGACTAAACATTCCAGGCAGGGTCACGTTTCGAGATCAACGACGACTTTGGTGCGACTCACTTTATTCGCGCAATCTCACCAGCTTCTGGCTGCGCGTACACCGACTTCTCCAAAGCGCGAGTGTTGCAGCAGTTCGGTGCCCATCTAACCTGCACCGCTACAAGGCAGTACATCGCGTTCACATTGACTTGCCCGCTGCCATCGTTTAAGGAAACCAAATATTATTTATTAGATACGGCTGCAAGGTATGATTCTTTATAAAACGGTCTTTATTCTAAAAATAGTCTTTGTTTGTCTTTATTCTTTTACAAAAAGCAAATAAAATCACCATTACATTTATATTTTTTTAAAGTTAAACAATAATTTTTTACGTCTACCCTCTACGCTATAAGCTTTAATCGTCATCATTGCTCATAGATCTATGTACAATGAATGGGACATCAAAGACTGTATGCCTCACATTCGAGACGACCTCTATAGAATTACAACTGAAGAGCGAGTCATGGATCTAGTCCAGCGTGCTTGTTGGGCAGGCTCCCTAGCAAATTCCATCTACTGTGAGGAAGAGAGAATTGAAAGCATGACACGGCTGAGGCTCTGCGGCTTCGTGTATGAAAACTTTAAGTCCTCATCATGTTCTGTGGCGAGCGTTGGGGTGCCGTTTGAGGAAACCTTGAAGGTCGCTGACAAAATTGAAATGACACGGGTTAGTTCACACTGGTATATACTGAGGTAAGGTTATGTTGTGTTGAATGTATTATATGTACCAATTTCCAGTATGTATTTGAACGAATGACCGTTGATTCGTTCAAAAAAGATCTTATTAATTGTCACACATGAAAATAATTCTTACCTTTGTGTTGTTGCAAACTGTAGAGCGACTTAGATCTCAAACTTGATAATTTAATTTTTCCTGAAAGGATAAATTACAACGCAACGTTTGTCAATATAATGGACTCAGGATGAGTATCATTTCAGTATAAACCTCCAGAACGTAAAGAATTGCCGTCAAATCCTCGCGCCGGGTTTGAGTACTATGAGCTAGGGCCCGGCAGCGACACTTGCATCGCTGCGGTTATTCCCGGTTGTGGGGCCAGCGACTTGACGTTAGTATATATAAAGAGTATATTATTTACTTTAATTCTACTGTAATATCACCTTAAGTTCATAAACAGTTATAGAAAAAAAAACAGTGGCACTACTTCCTTTTTATGTCTGGGTCTCAGATTTTTGTATTGTTAAAGCCTTCTGTTCTGTGCCAGACACGCTCCGTCGATTTGTTGGGTCTAAGGCGTGTCGGTTTCCTCACGATGTTTTCCTGGACCGTATATCCAGTGTTAAATGCGCACATAGCCGGGGTTCCAACTTATAACCTCAGGCATGAGAGTCGCATGCCAAAACCTCTGTCCAATAAACACTATTCACAGAGATCATTTGCTGCACAAAAACCTGAACCCTTAAACTTTCCTTTACTGTCTTTTGACGTCTAACTCCACGCTTGATGACTCGGGGACCTTACCACCTCCTATTCCGCATTGCGGGTTTTCAATGCCAGAAGTTCACAAAGTCAAACAAACTGGAGTGCAGGCCTTATTATCCCTTGATACCCACAAGTCGAGTGGCCCTGACGGCCATTCCTCAATCGTACTTAAGACATGTGCTTCCGAGGTGACTCCGGCTCTTTCGACTATCGTACTCCTCGTTGCGTAGTTCCAAGCTCATTGAAGACTGCCCATGTTTACCCCATTCCCAAAAAAGACGACCGCTCGGACCCATCCACCTACAGACCTATCGCAATCACTTCATTATTTTCCAAGTAAATTGAGTCTTAATTATCAATAGGCAGCTCTTGCGATATCTGGAGGAGAACCAGCTAATTGGTGATCGTCAGGGGTAGTAGCAACCATGTTAAGTTTAACCCTACAAAGACTCAGGTTTGTTCGTTTTCTGCTGAAGAAAGATCCTTTTGTCTTGTCTCCTCAATTTGAAGGCGCATGTAACGCGCCGTAACCTTTTTTCTGTAAAACGTTTCGTGACCACCTAGTGACTCTTTATACGTAAAAGTTACTATTATGTGGTGTAAGTCGAAAATAATATTAACAATAACGCATAATTCAATCCCCGCCCCGTATCGTAACGTTTTACAAAAGAAACATTCGTTAAGTAATACTTGAACGCTCCCTTAGTATTTCACAGCCTCAGTATACTTGGGGTTGACATGTCCAAAGATGTCGTTCACAAGTAAGCGTTGTGAAACCATTTGGACTTAGGGTCCTTTAAGAAAAGAGCGTTCCAATTCTTAAAGGGCTGGCAACGTACTTGCGAGCCTTCTGTGAATGTGAGTATCCATTGTTTTTTTTTTTTTTCCCGTGGGTTAATGCGTTATGGTTGACCTGGGGAAGGGTGATGTGGGACTCGCTGTTGTGCATACCCACTAAAACCCCACGGCGCCACCAGCAATCGCCCGGGGCAGGACACGGTAACAGCGTAGCCTTGTCCGCAATCCATTGGTATCACTTAACATCAGGCTCACCTGCCCGTTTGCAGAAAAACTGTTATTTTGATCCTTTTTTTATATTATTTCAGATGTTTATTGAAACATGCTATAATAGCTGCGGCCTGTGGTACGGGATGTGTACAGTCCGGCCAACACGATATCGACTGTACCCCTCAGGGCCCGCTGGGACATATGGCTGGAGCCGACATACATACGAAATTTCGTGCTTTTAATATAGCATATTATGACACTGGAGTATTTGGTAAGATCAACTTTACTTGGTTACTGATTCCAAAAATCTAAATAATTGGCTCTAACAATGCCGATTACAATAATTATGACGTCCAACACACCAAATATCGATGTAGTTCTTAAATATACGCTGCGGTGATGTCGGACAATAAGAATTATGCAGCGCGAAAACTCAATATTGAAATTGCAAACGATATTTAAGCTACGGGGTAAGCTGGCAGGTTTAATAACGTTAATTAGTAGTAGCATAGTTGAAAATACAAAACAACCAAGAAAGGAATTCTTCCTATAGCTCACCCGTTCGTCATACCCGGCCCTCACTCTGAAGCTTCCAATAGCGACGGCGATATTGATCTAGACTTATTGTGGAAGTACGCTGTAGTTCTTTCGATATCCGTGGTGTTGATAACGCAATCTTGGGATCGCGCGGTACCAAAACTGATTATTGATATCGGTACCACTAATGAAAGTAACAGAATAAGGGCTCTGCTGTAACAAAACTGGGCTTCAATAAAAATAAGTTTTAGGGATATTATGCAACACTCGTGCGCAGACGGCTAACTCATGTACGTGTGCGCTCGTTGAGTTTCTGTGCAACGTTGGGGATTTGGATTTCCGGCAGCTTGAAGTCGGAAAAAAAAGATTAAGTTAGTAATATCTTTATATGGAATCTAAAATAGTAGTCATAACAGTCCTTCTTGTTAATGGAATTCATTTATTTTATTAATTATATTTTATCCTTATTATTTATACAAAATTATATAATCTCCACTACTATATGAATGTAAATAACTATATAAAAACGACAAATGCGTAGTTTCTTCTAATATTGTTTAAATTACGCTTAATGAGCTTGCTAGTAGGTAATGTACTTCTGTTATCTAATAGAAATGGAATTGGCCCGTCATGACGAAGATGCGGCGGCATCAGCAGAGGGCCTGGCTTTGCAGTTGGCTTGCGGCGTGCGCCTTGACGGTGTTGGGGATGCGCTGGCGCTTATCGACAATATTACCGTCGATGACCTCTCTTGTGTAGCAAAGGCTATATCTAGTCGCCGTTAGTGTTACGCATTTATCAATATTACACATTAACTTAAAGTACATCGTGAATTCTGCGTAAACATTCTGAAATGCACACTTGATAATTGTTTGGCTCATATTATCTCTTAAATAATTTCTCATTGCGTTAAACAAAACAATAATCGAAAACGTGCAATGACTCTATGCAAATAATATATGATTATTGTTTTGAGAGAAACGACCGCGCCGCTAACCGACAGATGGCGTTGCCATAGCTCCGACACCTACACCATCTAGAGGCGTATTATCTATAATTGCCAACATTTTTATTTCAGGAAATGATTTAGCTATTGCAGTTGTTGGGGATTGTGGTGCGGTACCACACGATCAGGAGCTGTTCCATCACCTATAATTGTTTTAAAACTCATTAAACATACTAGATATAAATTCTATTAATTCTTGGCTTTTTATTTTCCCCAATAATAAACACTAATTATATAAATATAATAATTACAATGAAATGTGTGTAATACAGCTAATTCAAATTAAATAAATTAATGTATGCACGATTAGATTGACTTTACGATGCTCGTAACAATATTTTGTCATACTTAATTTTTCAGACATTATGCTAAAATAATACCAATAAGTATATTGCGTTTAATATTTTGTGTAAATATCTAAAATATAGTCTAGATACTTCTATAAGCTTTAAAATCTGTAATCAAAGAACAAAATAAACAAATGTCTTCCCCTTCAAATTTTAAAATGTTCAAATCTCAGTGACTCAGGCATGTGTCATTGCTAGATGTCAAACCATCATTAGTCAAATTGTAATATCAAGACTCAATCATATATCAAGGAATAATTAAAAATTTAAAGTAGATACTGTGGTTCACTACTAAATACTAAATTCTTATCTGTATTGAGTATTCTGTGCTGACTGCTGTGCTTTTTATTTTTGTTTCGAGGCCTAAGACCTAAGTTATATTTAAAATTGTATAAAAAATATCGTAACAAAGAAATTTAGCAAGCTATGAAATAAAATAAATGTAATTTTAATTCAAAATGTTGAATTCCTTGCAAAATTCTATCAAATGTAAGTGTTCCACCAAATATACAGGTTATGTTGTTGCTGATTAGCTTGCGATTTTATTTCTATCCTATACTAAAAGTGATTTTTCATTTCAGATTTGCGGGTTGTGAACATTAAAACCGCCTTAAACTCGTTAAAAGAATGTAAACCAAATAATCCAATAGTAAGACCCAAACTTGATCTAATATCTAAAGCCAAAACTATATCCTTCTCACCAAGATGTATCAATTTCGAAATACAAGAAAAGCCTATGGATAATAAAATAAAAAGGGATCCTTTAGCTTACACTCCAATAGTTAATCCGAGGTCAATTTTACCACTAATTGATGCCAATTGGAGAAATGATGAGATTGGTTTGCCTGCCATTGACCGAGAAGAAAAACAAGCAATCCGTTTGATTGTTATTAGAAGGAAAAAGATGAAGAAACATCAAAGGAGGAAGCTTTTTAAGAGAATGAGGCATCGCTGGGCAAGGGTATGTACATATATACACTATAAATATATCCTTATTGTTGCATAAGCACTTTTGCCATACTTGTTTGTCATACAGGCTTAGCTTCTTTAAAAGTATATAAAAATAAATTCACTTTCATTTAGTGTAAACAATACTTATTGTTATTATTTCAGGTAAAGAAAAACCGCCGCATTAAGAAAGAGAAAATCTTTCAAACAGAGTTAATGATGATGATTAAACAGGCAAATGCATTTTCTGCTGAGCAGTATGTGACCAGCAAAATTGATAAAGCAAACCACACTCCATTGCCAACTCGCTGGAGACACAAGCGTCTTCCTCAGTTCATCATACGACAACTACTTGGCATTGATAAGAAGATTAATTACAAGCATACTGATGTATATAAAGCATAGATTAAGATCAATGTTTAGTAGTGCTTTAGAATAATTAAAGGTGTATATTAATTTACTATAACTATAATTTTATTGTTGTATCATGTTGTTGTATCATATGTTTTTAACAGAGTCATACTTAGCAGTGACTCTTGATTCCGAATTTTACTCTTAAATTACAGTTTGATGTGTTTGGCAATATATATATATATAGATATACTATCAACCTTTTCCAATGTAAGTTAAATTTAGCCACAATAAAATTTCTGTTACTTTTTCTTAATTACCTCTGAGAAAAATAATCATCTATGCACACAGTAAAAATTTGACATCTACCAATTCATTTCGTTTCATCATGACCATGTTACATTTATTATTATTTTTTTTACTTTTAATGATGATTCAATTATAACTTTAAAAAGGTGAATTTTGTAGCATTGAACAACGCCAATTTTAAAATTGTACTCAGCCAAATTAATCTAATCTAATTGTTTATATTATTTTATTTAAAGGGTTTCATTAGAGTAAATAGATGATTGAACACTAATTCTAATTGGACAAAAATGTCTAGTAAAATTTAGTTTTTCATGGTGATATAATATGAAACTTCAACATCTTAATACTTATGGGCCTATTAAGAATATCAAAAAGAAACATTAAAATAGTATAAGTGTTATATGCTAAGCATAAAAAAAATTAAAACCTAATAAACAGTATTTCATCCAAAAAAAACAATTACAAAATATGATAAATTGATAACATGAAATGTTATTAATTAATGATGAATTACCGCTATCTAACGGATAAGTTTATAAATCATAATATATTACATTAGCGCCATCTGTCTTGCGATAGTATTACTAAGCTGGTAGAATTAATTACTTACTGCTACCATAACTTATTGCTTCCGTATAATTTAAGTTCTTGCTTGCAAATATACCAATTCTTTTTTCACACTATAAATACTAAACTTGCCTTGCGCCCGCACCATCTAGTGCGTAATCAGCGAGAGGTGGAAAAGCAAGGAACTCGTGTGATCACCGTCGATTGCAATCCAAGTTACCCCACTAGATCTACTTCTCTACCGATTTTATATACACTAGGTACAATAAAATTCAATTTATAGATCAATTTCGCGTTTTCTAATTTGTATTTTCACCTTGTAACAAAAAAACAATTAGAAACAGACACTAACAATACTATCACTATTAGGGTTAAAAAGGTAGCCTGTGAATCAATGTGTGAGTGCCTAACCATAAAAAACCATTTCAACGAATTATCGCTGTTATGATAGCGTGTTTTTTTCTCTTACTTTTATTAAAATCGTTTGAAGAAATGCTAGAACCAATTTTTATTATACTTGTACGATCAGTCGAAGCACATTTCAGCTCTCGACGATGTTAATATCTTTGTTTTATGATAAACTTCTTAATTACGAATTCGACGCCCTGTTGACACAGATTAATGGTTCCCTCGGGGATGTTTTCCTTTTTTGTTGTTTTTACTACATTTAGCGCGGATCTCGCAAAAAGTGCTCTCTGCTTGTTTACGAAAGTCGAGCTGCGAAGCTTATCGAATGTTATCAAGATTTAGTCAAAGGTTTTTGTGTAAAATTGAAGCACAACTTCTGTTTTACGTTTTATTTAGTTGATGGTAATGTTTTTAAATAAATAATGACAAATAGAGAAACTATTATGATACAAATAGGAGGAGATGCTATCGAATATGTAGACCACTACGTATATTTAGGGCAAATAATATCATTTCATGACCAAATGGATCTTGAGATAGAAAGAAGAGTGTCTAGCGCCTGGAAGAGATTTTGGTCACTCAAGGAAGTACTTAAAAGTAAAGACTTCCCAATAGTAGCTAAGAAAAAGGTGTTCAATCTATGTATCCTACCATGTGTTACATACGGCTGCGAGACTTGGGCTTTATCTCAGAAACATCTTCTAAAGTTGAGAACATGCCAAAGAGGAATGGAAAGAAGCATGGTGGGTGTAACACTGAGACATCGAAAAAGAGCAGAAGAGATCAGATCAACGACCAAAGTAGAAGACATTATAAAGAAAATAAGGCAGTTGAAATGGCGCTGGACTGGGCACATGACGAGAGATAGCAGGTTGAAATGGACAAAAATAATTACAGAATGGCAACCACGTGATGGAAAAAGGAAAAGAGGAAGACCGACCAAGAGATGGGCAGACGATATTAAGATAATAGGAGGCACAACTTGGACAAGAAGAGCTAATAACAGAAAAGAATGGAAACAGCTGGAAGAGGCCTACGTGTCACAGGACACGCTGATTACCAAAAACGGGTCATATGATGCATTAGATTAAGTTTTATTTTATTTATGTGTTAGAATTAAGTGTTTTTTTATGTAACTTAAATAATTGTATGGGTGTCAGCAATAAAGGCTAATCAATGTTTTTAAGACGTTTATTTGTTTAATAACACTTTTCTATCGTACTTACTTGAAGTATTTTGTGCAATATCCATTGTAGGGAAACTTACTCTTTTTTCTGTAAAATCGTTATTAGTACATAATATGAAATAATTATTTTCTGTTTTTTTTTAATTAAATAAGGAAGCATAAGCTATAAACTAAAATAATAATTATTCCTGGTACATTTAAAATAATAACGAAAACATTTATTTATTATTACGCAACGCTCTCGTTATTCGTTTAAGGTTTTTGTTACTTAATTACCGATTTTTTTATTCTATATTTAAAGTTTAGCTTTATAAACAAATTAATTAACATGTTAATACATTGTATTTTTTCAAAGACTCAAATTTACGAGCTCGGCATAAAATTTTAAGCCCCGATAAGCCTTCGTATAATCAATCCCACTTCGAACCTTTACACTTCGTAAATAAAGACCCTTCAATTGTGAACGAATTTTATTTAGTCTCAGCTTTGCGGCTCAATTTTACACGTTATTTTGACGAACCGGCATTTGTGAAAATGAAAGAGATAAGACAATTTTAGATACACGTTTTTAAATTACTAACAAGATAAATATATGTTAGTGAAAATTTGTTAATTAATTGCAGTATTTGTCATTTTATAAATTCTCCTCTCCAATCATTTTAGCTTAGTTATTAGTATCAACTTACTATACTACTTATTATGTTAAAAACTTTAAAAATTAGATAATATTTTCAATTTTAAAATTAAAAGTGTAGCCAAAACGGATTACACCGTATCATGTCGAAGATAAAGTACATAATATATAATTTGGCCTTTTGGAATGTGTAATGTGCGTTTTTAGATTCAATTTGTTTTTCTTTCCAAAATAAGCATTGGAGGTACTAGTTGTATAGAATAAGTCGAGTCGAGGACTTAATCCCAAACAATTGGTTTTTATAGTGTAATAGAATAGTTTTATTCAGCCGATTTTTTTGTAATTTGTGTCTTTTTACGTTTTGAGGTGCTTGTTATGTGTGAATTATTAGCCTTCATAATCGTTACTACTGTAACATTATTTTTCCTTATGCAAATAACGCGTTTCAATTTCTCGATTCACGCAATCAACGACCGCAAATGTTTAATTTGAGTTTAAGATTAGCTTGCAAGAAAAGTTTCAGTTACAAGGAAAAAGTGAAATCTGTGGAACGTCGGCAAATCTTTTTCTTTGCGAAGTGTCTTGAACATCTTAATGACGTTGCTGGAACAAAGAGGACGAGAGAATTGCGGTGTTATGTAGCTAAACCAGGGTGGAAATCACTCAACGGTCCATGGAGATTTTAGGGGATGGAAATCATTTTGTATAAATTTTATTTACTGATTAATATTGTTCGCGCAGTTACAAAATTTAATCATTAAAATAAGCCTACTTAAATTGAGTGCTACAATTTCCTGTTGACTTTATCAAGATATTTCAATTATCTAAAACTTAATAGCAAAATAAATTCCATTGCAAGTTAACAGACAAGTTAAACTAGCAAATTTGAGCTCGTAATTCTACCAATGCTAATAAATGTAGATCTGAAATAGACCTACAATGGTTTTGAATGAAATGCAATCTCAGTAAGATCTAGAAATCCCGCAAAACCAGGAATTACGTAATCCGCACATCGCAACGAAGACGCGTACCCTCGTAGCCCCATTGTAGAGCTCTCGTAGCACGGTCGTAGAGTGGTCTGCATCTACATTGAGCTACACAGTACACACTCATAGAATATTAAATGCAAACTTCACACGTAGGATTCAAAATTCAAATGGACTTTTTCAATTAAAGAGGTCTATTTGTAGAAAAACCTATTTCGCGTACACACTTACACTTATATAAACACTTGGAGATTGTAATTCTAGCGGATATGATTTTGACTTGCAGCAAGTCTTTTATATTCATATTTTTTGTCTTTATTTGGGACAAAATTACTTACTAGATTGTTCGAAAGTGTGATATTGAAAATACGAAATCTACTTAAAAGTTGTCCACACAACTTATCCCACGATAAATAATCAGACGCAGAGCGGTATCTCATAGATAACCTCGCTTATTAAATGTAAATCGTATACCGTAAATTTGGAACAAGTTATCTCAATAAAAAAAACTTTTTACGGCGTCGCTTACGTTTTGAAAAGTTTTCCAGTCATAAATTGTGAGCGTAAAGCAACTCTGCTTATTTATTTTTTGTGGTTTTCCGTTACTTGTACTTGCGTTAAGATAGTATAAGAGCCAAACAATAGTCTCGTGATTTTTTAAAAGTTATTCACTAGTTTAAATTTTACAGGTACAACTAGTTGGTCTACCACCTAATAATTGTATGAAAAGTCTCAACGTCCCTATTTTCAATGTTAGTTAAACGCCTTGCGCGTTGCTAGAAATAAAATAAATAATTCATGATCATTTTTCGTTACTAAAAATATATTCCTGAAAAATTTGACATAGATATTAGATATACTCTATATATAATATTTTGTACAATCTGTAAAGTCTAAAGAATATTTTCAAGTATTTTTTCTCATTTAGCCATAACACTAAGCAATGAGCCGTAAAATGAGCAAC